TAAAAACATGTGCTTTCAAATCTGTCGGATCTAAGTTGAGTCTTCCTAGTTTTTGGCACAGGTTAACCGCAAGAGGTTTAGAATAGTGAGAATGCTGGAGATGGCAAACGCACTTTGATTGTTCATTTGGCAGACAAAGTTATCACGTATGTTTGGGTAGGCTATTTAGGTGCAACATTTGCAAATATATCTGATTAAGTTTGGAGATTTTTAACTGGCACTCAATTCAAATGGGTGAAATAAAATGGAGTACTCAATTGTTTAATCGAAAACTGAGCAATTTTTTAAGTTTCCCGCTGTTTTTTAACATAAAGAAAAGCCCACTGTACTATAGTACCGGTTAATAGCAGACCGCTAACATTACAAATTCAAGGTTAACTGCGTTGATTAATATTTACATTCTTGCCTTCCCTAGTTCCTATAAATGAAAACGCGAAAGAACGCAATATGTCTGACATGATGAACCTTTTTTGTTGTCTACACTTAAAAACATTTGACGACTAAACTACCAAAAAGTCCAAAATATCAACGTGTGTGGGCCAACTCGCAGGTCGATAGTTTAATTAATTAAAGGCACAAAGTGCTTCATGATAAAGTGAAATTTGGCAAAGCAGCAAATGTAAGTTGATTGCCCTGCGGATTCGGATCAGAGTGTGACGTAAGAGAGGAAGTTGTAAAAGTCTTTTGAAAGAAATTTTTGTAGGTCACTTTTAATTGAACTACAGCCTTTCAAGATATGCTATACATTTCGTTTACAGCCTTGTCTTTACTCTAAATATATTTTCCCCATGTTGAGAACACTGATCAACTTCTAAAATGATTATTGAAATCCCATATTTTAGATCTTGGATTAATTCTTTTACCATAAGTTGGATAATCGTGTCCTTTTAATAATTAGCTAAATTTTTTCACTACTCTTGTGGTTTAGTGCATGGAACCTGACAAGAAGAAAATGGAATCAACAACGTGCGAGATGCTTGACGTGTAAATTAAAAGAATAAAAGCAATAAATTCTGCATTTTATTTTTAAAAATTCTGATTTCAATGACTGGCAAAATCAAAATGAACACACCAAGTAGAAGCATCTATTCGTTACAAGAATGGGGCTACGATCACCCGTGGCAGAATATACACATGAATTTCGTGGATGCATTTATTATTCTTGTTTGTTTGTACAAATACAATTTCCTACAACGTTTATCCCTATGATGACGTAACGTCACCGAGACGTATAAAATTATACTCCATGGCCTTACTGTAATCATTCTGGGATACTAGAAAACAGTCAGTTTTATATTTCATGCAAACTGTTCATGGACAAATACGACTTAAACAAAACTGAATGCCTGTAAATAATATGACAAGCCCCAAGGTGGTTCCCAGTTTACTAATTTCTTGCTCATGCCTTTATTTTTAAATGCTCCTGGACTCATGATACCACCAGAGTTAATTGAATGTAAGAGAAGTTGATTTAAAGTACTTTACTTGTGACTTGATGCACACTTTGGTGACCTCTGACATGGTAATCTTTCGGTAAAGACGCTGGGACTAGAAAACCGAATACTGGAATTGCTAGGGCATTAGTGCCCTGGGTGTCGTACTTATGTCGAGTGATTAGGATTTGTACCATGACTTCGCATGGTTCGAAGAGGGAATAAGTGATTTAACATGAGGCACAGATTCTCGTATATGTGTTTTTAACAAATTCGAGCCAGATTTCTACATATATTAGTGACGTCGCTGTATTTTATTGATTTATCACTTGTTCTATTAAATGAAAGTGGTTTAAAACGGCAAATTCTAATCATTCTCTGCCAAACCGCTGGGATCAACACTTGACAAATGCAAATACGTTCGGCATGAGTCTACAAATATTAACGTTGTAGTTTCAAATATATCATTTCTAATTTATTTTAAAATCCTTTGAAAACCGCTTTTTTTGCTCACAGTCAGGACTTAAGATGATTTGCATTTTACGACGAATCAACATAAGGGACTAATTAGACGAAGAGTGGATCACATAAACTGGTAGAAATGCCTTACGGCAGGTCTATTTTCGTATGCACTTGCCTAATTGATACCAGGAATGCAAGTGTGGATCATCGTGGCCAAAAAATTGGCACACATCCTTGCCGCGTAAGTTGGTGCGATGCGTCGCCCAACTGGTTCGGCGGCATGGCCTCGGGGTGGTGAACACGTGCGTTTGCGTGTGGTTTGGCAAAGGTCACTGCCACCTTCGATCTTTTGTTTCCGCAACTGGCAACCAAAGGGCCCTAGGGTCCTGGGCATTCGGGGCATCTAGTCCAGTTGTGAAACATTTTAGAGACCCTCAACACAAAACAGTCATTTCGTTTATGTTGGTGCCTGTACAAAACATTCAGCCCACTGTTTCGTGAACGTAGTTTGACATACTTCTTTGTCGCCTTAATACTGTCTAGGTTAGTATTTATGAAGCTCGATTAGATCTGTGCACGCCGGGTTTCCAAATTTTAACTATATTTTACCGATAAATTAGCAATGACAGCGATGAATTTTTAAATTTAGAACGGACTAACATTTCTGAGCATGGCTAGACACCTGAATCACAATCACGTTAACTTCCTTTAGAAAAATTAGTGTACATTGTCTGCCACTGGCTAGTATCTAACAAAAAGAACACTTGTCTGCCAAAGCACCAACCTGTTCTTTTCTATGGCTATTATGGAATACATTGGCAGGAAGTCATTCCCAGAGGATCAACACAAAGCATTGTTCAATAGACCTCATGACCAATTATCTTACTCTCGTATTGCATGAAGGCAGACTTCTAGAACAAAGGGGATGGTTGTTGGTTAAAGAGACACTCGCCACATGTAACAGGTCTAGGACAGTAATTGCTAAATGTACTAGTTTGAAAGTCCCAACTTTGACTCCATGATAGATGATGATGTTTAATTGCTTAGGGACAGACTGAGTCTGGGGTCACCAGTCGCCCCGAAAGGTACGGGAACGAAAGCCAAGAGCATAACCTTTTATTGCACAGCCCAGGAAAGTTTCAGACGTGTGCATGGGGAAATGGCCGTTGGTGGTTTTCAATCGACGAGGGGCTGGGTGACAAAGGCTACGCTGCGAGTCATTTTAACGTCACGAGGTGAACAGAAATTCAGGGCATGTGGGTAGGCGAAGGTAGCAGACGTGGATCAACATGACTAACAATCCCCAAACTAATGCAAATTCAATTCATGTGATCTCTCCGAGAGAGCCGTTGAAAGAAATTAGAGGAACCAATGTAAATCTAGAATGTGTCGCCATTTGTGAACTGTTCTGAGCCATTTTGAAGAACTTGGAGAAACGAAATTCCGAGGGTACACAGATGGTAGTGATTCTAGAACCGAAGTGAGGAAATTTGCCTTTGAACATGTATTAAACTGTGGAAGGAGGTTACCACATTGGAAAGTATCCAAAACCCCTGATTATTCATAATTATTTGCCTTATCTGTGTTAGCATCAGAAATAGCAAAAAAAGACTAACACAAGAAGGACCAACCAGTTTTGAGTTATGCGCTGCGCACAGTCACGTACGCCACCAAACCGGGCCAGTGGTCCCCTTTTGCCTCGCACCGCTGCGCACACACGCACACCGAAGGCAGTCGCAGCGCCTCGTTAGTCGGTCTCCCCGTCCTCTCCCCCTCCCACCCACCTCCTCCTCCTTCTCGCCTCCTTCGGCGCCAAACGCCGACAATGTTTTGCATTATCCAACTAACCCGTGCTCTGGATGCGTTTTAATCTTAAGTGTGTTGTTTGCATCCGAAGTTATATTTTTTGTGGCGTACCGTAGACTTCCTACTTATTTAGGTGGCGGTGTCCGATGTCTGATTAAAAAATATTAAATCGACGAAGCGCTTTTGTGTGAAGCGGATAGAATGAAAATTTGTGCCTAGAACTGCTTCGGAATCAATGCATGACTTCAACACTGCACTAACATCAAAGCAGGTTTCAGGGATTATGCGGCCGACAGAAATTGCTTTTATCAATCGCAAGGAATGTTGTGGCAGTTATAGAACAGGCCATTTTTCTCTACTTAAGTTGGCAGTCGTTTGTTCTAAAACTCGACTTTCTCAAAAATGACAATGGGATAATAATTTTGCATAAAGTAAAATTTAATGCACAGGTAGTGCATAGAGGTTTCAAATCAGAATCTTCCAAGTTTTATTGCACGCTACTTTGAAAGAGAACTTAATCAAAAACGAAGATGGCTGCCTTAAACAATATAGTGTAACACGATAGTGAGATAAAGCCACGTAAAGAGACGTACAACTGTGATAAACCTTTTCTAACCTCATCCTCGATTAAGCTTTTGATTTTTTACACATAATATAATAATCAAGAGGTCAACTTTACTAGCTTATTAGTAACTCGTGTGAATCAGCATTAACACCCATTTTTATTCGAATCGCTTACTACGCCTCACAGTCACGGGGTTTAAACCGTACAATTGTAAATTAAAATCCTACATTGCTTCAAATATGTCGGCTAAGATGCATTTTAGTGCATCTGGTAGACTTACTGTTTAATGGAAACATCTAATGCCTAATCTAATTAATCCCTTTAAAAACACTTGGACTTGGATCCTTTTGCACAGCAATACCTTACTTGCGTACCTTTTGCACAAATTAAAGATGTTAGTGCACATTGCACTGTGAAAGCAGCAAAACTATTTGAAAATGCTTATTCACTCAAAGGTATATCTTTCAAGAAGCAGCTGTAGTTTTATGATAGATGTCTTATTACCATGAGCGTGTAGGAAAACGTAATACTAGATTTGACATGACATCTTTTTAATCGTTTTGGAAGTTGATTAAAATCTAACATTAGGCATTTTCGACATTTTAGTGGTCTTAGCCATTCGATGGAATCAGTCTTGTACAATTCAAGCACAACAACACCGTTAATACTACAAGCAAGGAGCATTTCATTCTAAAGTGCAGTATCCACCGCCCCAGCCGCTATGCACGCCCCAGATGAGGGTTCCAAGAGAAAATATCACAGCCTGTGACGGCAATCCCCAGCTGTTACTTCTCTTTCTGCTGATACTGGCACTCACTATCCCAAGCAATCTGGCACACTCAGACCTGGGCGTTACGTTTACGTTAGGGGATGAAACCCCAGCGAGCTTTTTTCTCGGAAACATCCCAAAAGAAACCACCGGTTTTGAATCGAGGACTTCAAACCACAAAATGCGGGCTACACTTTTGGACACGACACGAGGTCTCGCCTCTCGTGTGCTTCATCTCAATGATATGGGTGACTTACACACAATAAATTTCATCGATAGAGACGATGCTGCTGGAATTTGTGGTCCATTGGAGTGCTGTTCACAACCTCTATGTGACCTAACGTTCACTGCTGTGTTTGTCTACACAGATAGACCCGATGAACCCATAAAAGTGGCTGTCAACGTGCAGCTGATTGATGTCAATGATAATCCCCCAACATTTCAAGACCACCAATTTTCTATTACGATTCCAGAAACCACTTCCCTAGATGTAGCTCAAGGCCAAACTGCAAGCCGACAGTACAGCCTTCCGCGTGCAATGGACAAGGACTCAGCAGCAAATGGAGTTGTGAAATATCAACTCGAAGGACATTCTGACTACTTTTCGCTCACCTCACCGGAATCCGAGTGTTATCCCTGTTTAAGAGTGAGCAGCGTTGTCCCCCTTGATTACGAGAATCCCCGCCACGGTAAATTCAGTTTAAAACTAATAGCCATTGATGGAGGCGAAATTCCCAAGTCAGGGTCAATCACACTGAACCTTTACCTGACGGATCTCAACGACAACGCCCCGATTTTTTCAAAATCTAGTGACACAATCCAAGTGGTAGAAAATCAAACCTACAATCAACCGATCTACATTGCTAAAGCAACTGATTCGGACTCAGGTTCAAACTCTCGAGTTCATTATCTTATTAATACCCAACATTCCATGATAAAGGAGAAATTTGTCCTCAACTCAGAAACCGGGGAACTTTTTATTCAGTCCAGACTGGATTATGAGAAGTTCTCGGAACGCAAAATTGTCCTAGACATCCTTGCATATGACGACGGACGGCCAGCTTTGTCAGCTACGTTTTCGCTGACCATAGCTGTCATTGACACGAATGATAATCCACCAGAAATTTCGGTTCAAAAAAATAACACAATTATGGAGAATAGTAAAGCAAATGCACCAGCAATCCAACTACTCGTTACTGATGCTGACGAAGTTAGTCAAGGCAAGATCAAGTGCCACCTAGAGAATCAGGATAATCTTCCACTACGTCTAGAAGGCCAGACTTTTCTCTCCGTGTGGACAACAGAGCCGCTAGATTATGAAAAAACACCTTCAATCACTTTTAACCTAATTTGTTTTGACAGCGCTGATCCTCCGAAGAACACCACTCTACCGCTGACTGTGAAAGTTGGCAATCAAAACGATAATCCCCCAGTGTTTTTCTCATCCCTGAAGATTCCAACAAGCGTGTACGAATTCCAAATAAATGAGGACGAGAAGATTCTAAGGCCCGTTTACCTGCCAGTGGCAATCGACATGGATGGTGACTCCATAATGTTTAGTATGAAGTCCAAAGAAACGAAGTGTCCCTTTACAGTAAAAGCCGATACTGGTGCAGTATACCTTAAATACCCGCTTGATTACGAAAAGTCAAAACAGCATGAATTTTACATTTATGCGGAGGACCTTCCTGAAGCGGGATCAAAAGAGCCAGTGCTGACATCGTCTGTAAAGGTTAAAGTGAAAGTTCGGGATATCAACGATAATGCGCCCGAGTTAACAAGTCCCTCACTAATCGCAGTCAAGCCCGATACACCGGTTGGTTGCTTGGTGTCGCAGATAGTATTCAAAGACGCAGACATGGATGGACAGCAGGAGGTCTCTACTAAACTAGTGGCTCAGGAGGTATTTCCAATGGGCACAAGGAAAAAATACTTTGCTATGAAGGAGAATGGCGCTCTAATCACTCTTGCTCCGCTCGACAAAGAGGATAATTCCGTGGTTGCACTCACGGTTGTAGCCACCGACATTGATGCTAGCAACCAACTTTCTACAACAGTGACTCTGGCAGTGGTTATTGAAAATCCTGGTGGTGTGGACACATTAAGAGTTGCAAGGCCTTTTCCGGGTTCAACGGTGGTTCTTTCAGTTAAAAAGATCCCTAGTAGATCTCTCAAAACTGAGAACTTACGCAGTGTCCACATTCCCTTTGACGTTTATGACAGCAGTAAGAGTAGCTACCTGGTTTTCGACCTAGATGGACGATGTAATGGGTCGAGCTTGTTTAGGATTGAACAAAATACCTCTCAAATCAAGCCAATTCTTACCGACAATACTGTCAGTAAACTCAGTAATTTACCCACAGGGAAAAGGTTAGAGGTTTGCATCAGAGTTGGTGACTCAATGAAGCCAACAAGAAATGCCGCATCAAATTTTTTTGTTGAATTCGATTGGGCTCTACGAATATCAGGGCAGGCCCTCTGGCCAGCTGATTCGGCTGACGTAGAATTTGATGGCCTGAAAAACAGCCACGACGACGAAAACTGGTTGACTTCCACAGATACAGTGTCCTCAGGGAAACAGGGATCAGGAAGACCCTTCAAATTAAGTCTTGGAAATATCATAATGTTTCTTCTCATACTGGTGTTTAGTTTAGCAGTTGGATTTGCGCTGTTTGCAGCAATTCTTTGGGCTAAAGCAAAGCGGGCAGCTTCTTCGACAATTCCTGTAGCTCGCCGAAACCCGTCTCCAGTTCAATCAGTCGTTGTAGCCCCCGATGATGCGGATAAGACTAGGCGTCAGTCTTCGAAGGAAAGTGTTATTTGGCAACCGGGCAATCAAAAGGCATCATTGAGAGTCAATGAGCAGATTCAGTTGGCTTCTACGCGTCCTGAGCAGCCATCTGAAGTACACTTTGCCATCCTGACGTCCAATGGAAACACAGTTCTCAGAGACTTCGACAAGCCATCAGATAGTTCCGAGAATTCTGGAGGCCCCGTGGTGGCATACTTTAACCTAATCGTCCCACCAGATGTCGAAACCCAGGCCCCTGCACAACAGGTCTTTCCAGACCTCACCACTGGAATTAGTGTGAATTTAGCAGGTGACAACAAGCCACCATCTCCCTCTCCTGCTGTTAGTTGCTACTTGGTTATGTAAGGCATTTTCCCCTATCTTCTCCCCAAATACCACTTGTAAATTGGTCTCATAATATATTGTGTAGGACAATGCCTTTATTTTATTTTACCTGAAAATATCATTTTTGCAGAGCTTTTAGGAGTAATCCTACAGAAACTGCAGGTAATGGCTGTATAGTTCCTCAAGGATCGTTCTACGTCTTGGTAGCCACGATTAGAATACAGGCAGACAAATATCGCAATAGCGTAGAGGTTGTTTAACTGCCCCAACTTGTGTTTTTAACACATAATGAACCACTTTGACTATTTTAACCTGAAAATTATTTTGTTTAAACAATCTTTACCATTCAAATAGACTGCCTTACTTGGTGCTTACATAATAAATTAATAATCTGTTCAGCTGTCGGATCATATTTCAAACAACCAAGTGACCTTCTATTAACTACTCATTGTGGTTCTGTACCATGCTCGGAATATTGCGTTCGAATTGGCTTGAAAACGGTACACATATTGCCGAGTAGACAAAGAACACCAGAGATGGCATAATCTCAACCGTGAAATAGAAAGCTCAACCTGGCTGCATTGTCGTGTGCGTGCGCTCACAGTCGTGTATGCCTAATGCAGTTGTTAGCCCATGTAGGTTTGGTGAACTTGTACAAAATGCAAATTACCAACACGATTGGCGCGGGAGGTAAATGCAAGGGAGCGCGTGAGCAGATGGTGCCGAGTGGCTGATGGCCACGCTGTGAAGAGAATGCGATGGTTGGAACAACGGACGTGAACCTGCACGATTCACTGTAGACTTGTTCCTTGCACGCCCTGCCATTTAGACCAATTCTATTGAGCTTTATAAGTACTGTCACATTCTGTGAAACTATTAGTTGTGACAACTCAAAAGTACTACCCTCATGTGTTTACTTGTCAACAATGCAGTATATTCATCTAAGCGAATTTCGCCGACGTCGCTTCGAGGTGATTGTCACTTAAATGGTCTTTTTCAAGTGGCGACCAAAGGTTGATTCCACACAACAATTAAAAAATATAAATAGAAAGTGCTCTTCTTGTCTATGTTGGGTAAACGTGGGGTTTTTGTGATCTCTATTGATTCACTATATGATTGTTCGAATTGTGTGCTGATAGAAAATAAATTTACCATTTTGAGTTAGAATATGGCCATAAAATTTCAGTGGGTGAAGTAGGAAAAAATAACAAGACGAAGTGAATAGGGTGGGTATTCAAATCAGTGTAAATCGAAGGCAATAATATCACGATGTAATGGTACATTTGTTTTATCAGGTTCATATAAGGTCGTAGTGGATGCTTTAGTGAATGATTATATCAGTTTAGCCAGTCATCATTACCTGATAGGTAACATGCCCAAATGTTGGCAATTGTATATCACCAAAGCACTAGTTCAACTATTTGGGACAATAAGCTCTTTGTGAACTAAATTAATGCACTAAGATTTTCCACCATACCGTTTAGAATGTGGGTGAACATTTGCAAAAACCCCACCATTACTATCCTCAAACCAGAGGTTAAAATTAAATCTTTTGTCAATTTCAATTAAAACCAAAATAAGTTATTAATTATAGAGGCTGCAAACGCATGCTTCATTGGTGTCAAAACGACGCGTATGCAATTTTGCTACATTCAGCACGACATACCAAACGAGGGGGAGAATTCCCTTCCTGCTACTGAAGTCTACTGGGGGCTAAATTCAGTGATTTTTGATGAAGCCATAATTACACAATAATGCATGCAGTCCAGCACACTCATGGAATATACAGACCTAGCAACTTGGTGGAGTTTGAACGCAATGACTTAGGGTAGGATAGTTTAGTTGAGTGATAAGTATAGAGGATGGGTATTGCATGGGCCAACGCCTGAATAGAATTAGGGTTTACTCTATCTCTCTCTCCTGAGAAAAGGCAGTCGTTCAATGCAAATGCGGCGAAGACAGTCCTAGGTAAAGAGCTGTATCAAGTGGCAGAAGTGAACATCATTTTTTAATTTGAGAACCGAGTTCACGACGCTTTTCGTTTATTCGCTTGATCAACACCGACGCCGTGCATAATGCAAAGGCCAGAGGACGCGAAAACCTAGCGTCTACTTTGGCGATCCATAGTGACAGAAATACAAAAATTGTGCTTATGCACAGAAATAGGAGAAAGTAGATGTTGTGAATCGTGTTTATTCACACCCCTTATTCCGGTCGCTCCATCTCCGACACAAGGTTCCCGTTTTCGCAGCATGTCACCAGCCGCACGGATCCTCAACCCCCCCTTCATTGACACGGATATTTGGATTATCCTCACACCTAGGTCACACAGGCGCTAACGCCCACAGGAGGTATAAGTACACGCGTACAAACCCCACACACGACACAATGACGCCAACTTGGCTGAGCTCTGAGGTAAACGGTTGTGTCCACGTCCTCTTTGATCTTTTTCTTCATCGCGGATATCATGGAAACATAATCGGGCCAGGGTTAATTCCGTGGCTCCGGCGTGGTTCAGAATCACATGCTGGGGCCCACAACAGAGTCTTGTATCAACACAAAATCTATATATGAATATAATAACCAGATTATACGAGTTTTTTGGAGGGAAGCATGTCAGCAACGGCAACGGGATGATAAACAGTTTGCATTCAAATCAATTATACTGTTTGGTAAGCTCACGTTTGTCTTGAAAAGCTAGCCACCTATTGTGATCTGAATCGGTGTAGCTTTGTAGTCAAATACAGTGGACACAAAGGCAACGAGACTAAACTATTCAAATAGTCCAATACGGTCCTAAATGTTTTTGACAAGAAAAATTACGGCTACCCGTGAGGAACTACAGTGATTTTGGAGCAATAGATTCAATATAGATCACAGAGCAAGACATATCTGTCAGTTTTCTCAATTATTCATAAAATCAGCCTAATCAAGTAACCACCTTATTAGTCTGAGAGTTGATGACTAGATGGGCACAAAGTCACTGAACTTGCAGTCAGATGGCTTAGTTTTTTGTTTTCCAAAGTTGGCAGCAGCACTACTTCACGCAAAGGGATGACTGATACGCGTACCAAGCAAGTGACCGTACAGTTTGTCAGTAAAATAGGTCTAATTAGGAAAAAACTGTAGTTACTTTGGGGAGTGCAGAGATGTGTGGATGGGTATAGGCATCTGAATCTAATCTCCTGCTTACAGTCGCAATGTGCAGACCACTCGATATGCCCTGCTTGTGCCCATTATGGCATTGTACTTGTTGTGACTATAAGGCAAGCTAGTTTCCAGTCATCAGAATGCCCTTTTTGTACTGAGGAACATTTCTTGATACAGAGGAAAGCGACAAAGTAGATTATGGCCCAACAAATACAAAGCAAGACAGGATGCCTGGTTCATCAAATCTAGAACCTACTAGAGAAAATGGATGATCTACAGCTATAGTGTTCTAAAATAGGTAAGATGTTTTCCCAAAGCAAAATGATGGGGTTGATATCTCACAAAAGCTAGTTTTGTTTACCTCAGTTACCAAAAAGTGGAGCATATTGTGTACATTGTAACTCCAGGTGAATCAGTGTCAGCAGAAACTACTGAGTCTTCTCGAAAAATACAGATAAGAGTTTTAGTGTCTGAGATTTCATCGAGGATTAGATGTCAACTAAATGCAATAAAAAATCAGCGCTTCGGCGGCAACAAGTTTATTTCCTATAGATTTGCCTTGTGGCTTTTAAGTTAAATACATTTCTTCGTGTTCACGTTTAGAGATCTATTTAAAGTTGTGAATATTAATATACAATTGATAAGGTTTTAAAAATGTTTTGATCATTTCATGAACGCTTCTAGAATCAAGGTAGCAATATTATTACATTGTGTAATTATTTCATGAATAAAAAGGCTTAATTTTCAACCTAGAAGAAAAGGTTATAATGCTCATTAAAAAGGCATAGATATTTTTGAGGGCTTTTGACCATATGATCAATAAATTATTTGAGTCTGCAAGTAAGCCTAAGTTACTTGTCATTGAGCTCTAGAGTTAGAAACGGAGACGTTTGATATGTGGCGAGCAGTAAGCGAACACAGCAATGTTGAGCGAGCATGATTCAATTGATTTACGCGAATGCACTTCACGTAACTGCGTTCCTTTAGGGATCGGTGTTTTGCAGGGCTGCATAAACTGACCTCTTACATTGTACACGCACACACCACTACTGCATCAATAAATAAGTCGAGCAAAGTGCCATTTGGTTCCTTCTCTTTCTTTCGGTCAGGCCTTGTGTCAGTGTATTTCACCAGCCCTGGTGTGGTTACCAAAACCGCATACAAATCGCTGTTTGATGGGACCTGAAAAAGAACTCCCACTGTTTCTAACCTGCATCCACGATTGTTTCTTTTCGCATAATCTGACATGATCTAAAATTAGGCAGCAGTCCCTGATTAGGCACAAATCTTCTAACCTGCCTCAATTCAAATTAGGTTAAATTTTTCAGCAGGTAAAACCTGCTTATAGGCGAGTTCGTTGGTCAAGATGAACCGTGAAGTTTGGTTACGTCTTAGCTGCCAGTCGAAAGTTTCATCATCCACTTTCACTTAAGCTTGCAGAATGACACCAATAAACACGTAGCCTACCTGTGTGTACTGTGTCTGTGTGCTTCGTAATAGGGGGGCCATTTTTTCATTTCTTTTCCAAATTTTGGTGGTGTGCACTAGAGGATATCATAAATCAAACTACCAATAAAGAACGTTTTATAAGCTAAAAGGCTGTCGGATAACCTAGAAGTCAATGAAAAGATTAGAGACGGTGAGAACTAATGGGTTTGTTCATTTGCTAATATTATGATGTGGATAAGGGAAATTAAGCAAAAGTTTTAAATGCAAAACAAGTATGTTAGAAATGAAAACAAAGTCAGAATGTCAAACTACAGTGGAACATATCCACAGGCTGAAAATGGTAACCAGGATTCATGCGATAGTATCTCGCGCCAGGGCTGAAGCAACCATCAAAAATGGTATTAGCTTACAGTGGTGGGCTT